TCCCTGCCAGGGCGGCGGCGGGGGGGATGGCACAGGCCATGACACTCTACTCACAAAGCGGAAGCAGCTGCGGATGCTGGGCTCCACGTTGCTGCCCCCAAATGCCGCCACCTCCCCAAGCTGGCGTGGGACCTGGATGGCCTCGTGGAGCAGGACGCCCAGGTGCCGCTGGTCACACAGCCCCCCAGCATTCGCCACTTGGCTGAAGAGATCTGCAGCAGGACAGACACACAGCCCTGTTAGAGACATGGCTGATGCCCTGACACACCAGGCAGGATGCAGGCATGGGGGAGTGGTGTGTGGATCAGACCAGGTCCCCACCGCCTGTCTCCAGCAGGGAGCTCAAATAAGAGGGAAAAACTGACCTATGATTAAATAACTTTTACCACTATCCTTCCAGCTGTCAGTAACCAGAAATTTAGAGTCTTCTTGAGACAGAGGTTACATACATCACTTCTTTAACAGCCACAGCTGGCCTGTCCTCTATGAATCTGCCCAATCCATTTATTTAACTCCTTGGTGCTTCCCGTGCTAATCCCTCCATGGTAACCCATGGCAGAGTACCATAGTTAAAATGCAGTGAGGAAAGGGGCTTCCTTTAATTTGTCTGAAACCTACTTCCCAGCCATGCACCCTAGGTTTTTTCCTTTTGGGAAGCACTGGATAACTGTTGCCTGTTTGCCTTCTCTGCACCATTCCTTATAGCACCATGCAAGCAAGATCACCACGGCATCAGTCAGTCTGCAAAAATGCCTCCTAATTTAGGTGGTGGCAGGCTTGGGGAGGGAGGAAGGGAAGGAGGGGTGGCGATGCAAGCAGATTAGTTACTGCAGGAAAGCTGTTTCTCTGCTCTTTCTGGGCAAAGAAGGGCTAAGCCAGGAAACAAAAGAAATCCCGCTTTCCCCAGGTTACTCAGCACTTGGCCCTGAGGAAGGGAGACAGGGAACTCACACTGAAACTTCTCCTTGACCTCTGTCCCGCACAGACATGCGATGCCTGTCTTGAAGGAGAGAGCCCTCATCTTCCCGCTGCGGCCACTGCAAGGCAAGGTATTGCACAGGTTTGCAAATGTCTTGGAGGGATTTTTTTATGCAGGTCAGCAAGGCAAGCCCATGCCGGGCAGCCTCCTTGCTAGCGGCCAGGGCCTTTTTGCAGCACTGCCAGCTGGAAGAGCAGCACAGAGGTTTCCTTCCAAGCATGGCAGCCCCACAGCTCAAGAGTACACCGAGGGACCGGTACCTGTCAAAGACATTCAGCAGCCAGTTGAGGCTCATGTCCACACAGAGCGGCACATTCACCAGGAGCCCCCGCTCTCCCCCCAGCCTCTCGTAGAGGGCGGTCAGGCAGTGAATGACCTCCACCACGTCCATCGCCCGGTCACTGGGCTGCAGGTCATGCTCACTGAAGATTTCCAAGGCCATGGCCAGGGTGACCATGTCCACTGCACAGAAAGCACAAGTGGAGGGATCAGAGGGAGAAAGGAAAACAGGAGAGGTGAGAACCAAGAGGAGGGAGAAGCAGTCCTTCCCTGACCTGGAGCAGACTCAGCCCCACTGTGGCATGGAAGATGCTGCCAGGATGGGCACAGCTCCCAGAATTGCTCTCCCACCCATAAAACCCTGCCAAAATACCTACATCTCCACCTATAGTCAACTTGAACCACCATTCTGTGTGACCTTCCTTCCCTGTTGCTGTGGCCAGCCATGACCACAAAAATGCTACCCAGGAAAAGCTCCGTGTGGAGCTGCAGGCACCCAGAGCCAGCCTCTGCACGTGCCGGGTCCCTGTGGGGGTGGCGTGGGGAGGTGAGGGGCACAGAGCCACACAGGCTCTATGAGCAGCCAGATGTGTAACAGTCCTGCCTCCAGCTCTGACTGGCAGCGGGTGTCACGGCACAAACCTAAAATGGAACTAGGACAGCGTGAGCTACCCTGTTTTCAGATTTCTATGGTTGCAGGTTATATGTGCTACCATGTTCAGCAGCCAGAAATCTTTCTTTCCTGAAAGTCCATTTCTGAGACCACTTATGTTCTCACTACCCAGGGGACCATGTGCCATTTCTACAGTGTAACTTCACTCTGTGGGAAAGTCCTCCCTTCTCCTGTCAAAGCTGCCAACAGTTGCACTGGGGACCCCAAATTCACACACCAGTGAGTATCACTCCTGCTCACCCTCACGTCCACATTGCCCATGACTGCACATGGCTCTGATGTGTCCCACACTGCCTCTTTCCTGCATGGCCACTCACTTCACCAAACCTCTCATCATGGGGAAGCTGCTTTGGCAGTCTCCTTGCCCTTCTCAAGTATGTCTTGAATAAGAAGCACTTATCTTATGATCTTCCACATAATTTCTGGGCTGGGAAGAAGGTGCCAGCGCAGCACGTGAAATGCAAGAGGTGGGCAACCAAAGATGCACAACAGCAAGAAGGGTTCTGCTTTGCTCTCTGCCCTTTTCCTCACCATGCCTGGTGTTTCTGCAGCCACAGATGCATAGACATCTTCGCAAGATGGCGAAAGCTAACTGCTGCTTTCCCCCATTTACACCACATCAGCCCTGAACATCCCTGGCTATGGGACTGATCTGATCTGATCACCACAGCATCATGAAACTACTCCGCAGTCAGGGTTCAAATCCCCCAAGTACCAAACCTCCTCTGACATTCACTCATTGGCTTCTTCCAGCCCTTTCACAAGATGCCAAGGAGCACAGGTCTGCCTGGGTCCCCACTGCCACCTGGCTGTGTCTCCACCCCATTGGGAATTAATTCCATTCCATTGGGAACGATTAATTCAGGAGGGGGTTTTCCCTCATCCTGCCGCTGTTTAATTTTGACAGAGCCTTAGATGAAAGGCCTTGCCAAAAGCTCTCCAGCAGCCAAGGATGCCGCATCTATCAGATTCCCATCTTCCTGCTCACCAATTCCCCCGCAAACTCCTCAGCAGTTTCCGAGGAGCAGCTGCCCCTCGGAGAGCCACACATCATGTTGAACTTGCATCATATTCACCTGGCTATTAATCCTCATTTTAACTGGAGTTTTACCAACAGTGCAGAAGTCAGGTTTATTGGCTCCCTTCCTCCTCTTTAAGTAGTGGAGCCCTCTCTGCCCCTGCCAGCAAGGCTGGTTTCTGCTCTTGGTTACATCCACAGCTTCTCCAGGCTCCCTTGGAGCTCCTGGGTGAGCCCCTACCTGATCCCACAGCTTTGTAACTCTGAGCTGGACCACTTTGTTCTCAAATCCCTTTGACTAACACCTGCCCTTGAGGCATTTCCACCCTAAGCCTGCAAAGAGAGGCGCTGAACCTCAAGGGTAGATTTGCTCAGCTTTCCAGCCACAGGCTCATCTTCCTAGGGCTTCTCTTCCGCCTCAGATACCTGTCCCCTGGCGGGCTCCTGCCTTTGATGTGCTGATAAAAGCTTGTGTTAGTTTAATGCCTTTATTGAGGGAGACCCAGCAGGAGGGAAATACTTCCCACACTCACATCGCAGGGCTTTTTGCACGCGTCGCAGTTTCATAGCTGTCCGATATGCTGAGAACTTGATATTGTTCAAATCCGCTGCAATAAGACAGGAAAAGAAGAATAAAACTGCAGCTCGACATCCTTATCTCCAGGGCTGGAAGCAGCAGTTGCCATTCCCAGACACCAGCCCCACCAGCAGAAGCAGACTGTGGGAGGAAGAGGGACAGGGCCTGGCAGGGGGTCGCACCCCATTGCTTTGGGGGGCCCTGTGCCACAGAGGTGAGCAGGTGGGCTTGGGGGGATCTCACACAACACCCTATACTGCAAAAAGGCTTATGCTACTCAAATGGTTTTGTGGCAGTCTCCTTACCCAGTGTCTGGTACAACTCCGTCATCTTAGGGTGGTCCCAGCATGTTGTCTGGGCCTGGTGGCTGGAAGGAAAATAGAAGGAAACCAAGAGTCAATCTGGGAATTAAGCAGCTGCCATGAGAGATTAAAAAAAGGACCCAGCTGTCTCTGGGAGCAAGTGCCCCAGTGCCTGCAGACGCTGGGGCTGCAGTACCCCAGTGAGCACACTCCCCAACCACAGAAGCCTGGAGGATGCCCCTGCTTGCTGCCAGCCCTGCCTCCTTCCAGCCAGTGTTTTTCCTCATCTGGGGCATCTTGGCAGGCAGGGAAAGCCTGACTTTGCCAGGTTGGGGGTGACAGGCTTCACCAGACATCAGTGCTCAGACCAGTCTGCTCACTGCCCCTGCTCCTAACTGGTCTCCAATTCCCGTTCCCACTGGGCCAGAGAAGACCACAGGTTGTGACTGGGAGCACACTCACTTGATGTAGTATGGCACTTTGTTGGGGGAAATGGCTCGCTCCCAGGGGACCTGGACAGAGGCTGCAAGGAGAGAGACACAGATGTCAGATCAACACCAACCTTTAGGTTCGTGCTGTTTCTGATGAGAGCCCAGTGGGACTGTGCCAGCAGGTAGGTGCCTCTGAAGAGGCTGTGCCTTCCCAAATCACCAACTGGGGGTGTTGGAGCGGGCAAGTGGATGCTGCCTGTAAGAGAGGCACAAGACTGCCAGTCTTGTCAGAGGCGTCTTGCCTTTCTTGAGACAGGGGCTTTTGATGATGAGCAAGGCAACACTGTGGTCACCAGCAGGCAGGGCTCAGCAGCTGGGATTCAGGCACACACAGAGCACTGCCTGTGGTGGCCAGGCTTGGGCACCCACAGCATCTGCTGTTCCCATCACCTGTGCTTGGTGCATCAGCTGCAGTATCTCGGGAAGATGAGAACGCACCCCATACCAGTTGCCTGCCACCCTATGTTTGTTATCTAGAGGACAAAAGCCCTTTTATGACCCTCAGCTATTTTCCCTTGTCACAGGCAGCTTATTAATTCCAGCAACTGGAAAAGATACTCTTCCTTTCAGGTAGGAAGTCATGGTCTGCAGAGAGACACAGGCCAACAAATCCCACTGACATCTGGAGACCCTGCAGGGCTCAGCATATCTAAGGACGGACCCCAGACTCTGGAGCATAACCTGCTGTCCATCCTTTTCCGGTCTGAGAGCTGTCAGCCAGTAGCAGCTCAGCTCTGTAGGAACAGCACCCTTTGCCTTGCCATGTGAATTAAGACCTCCTTAATGTGTGCATTTTTGCCCTTCAAATGACCAACACAGGATACAGGGGACTGCCTTTTTCTGCCATCTGTTGTCTTGCCCACCCAGTCTCTAAGACTGGCACAGTCCCAGTATCACCTGGGAGCTGCCGCTGCAAGTGTCACAGCTCCATGCTCTGAAGGGGAGCCACACTTGTGTCCCACACTTGGTGCTGCAATGTTAGTACAATGCTAACTTTGGGAGATGCCTTCTGCTCCAGTTCCTGTGCACCAGGGACTGGACTGGGCCCTTTTCTAGCCGCATGCATGGCTCTAGGCACAGCAACAGGACTCCGCGCCTCATTCTCCTGTGCCACAGCTCATGCTAAGCCACTCTGCAGAAGCAGCCTCACGGCAGGAAGCCAGGAGGGCCTGCTCACGTACAGGAGAGGAAATGCTGGGAGCCTGGTCCGAAGTCCCGGTGGGCGTCTTGGAGCTGCTTCAGGCGTTCATTTACAGAGGCCTGGAGAATGGGACAGAAGAATTCAGTGGCGGCCCATCAGGCATTTCAGATTGAGGCCTCATTCAGGAAGGCTTGTGGATGGACTCAGACATGCCCCAGCACACTGGTCCTCTTACTTCCCCACCTGCCTTGGTATTTGCATTCCCCAGTCCACTCAGCCCTCTACACCTCCTCCCACAGGCTGAGGCAGCACAGGCCACATCTCCAGCTCACCTGTATCCATATTTTCACAGACATCAGCAAAGCCACAGCTGGTACTGCCCCCTCCCCAACAGATCCTGATTCTCCTCAGTCAGCGTCCTTTGTTCCTCCCATTGCCTTTTCCTGCTCAAGACCTCTACAGATTCACCAGCTACTTTCCTCACACTGAGCTGACTCTCTCCTCCAGGAACACCTGGAATACCATCCCTGCTATGCCAAGCCTTACTTTATCATCCTTGAAGCTCAGCAGTGACAGCCCTTCCCCAGCATCCTCCCACCTGTGGGGTTTTTGCAGTGCTTGGTCCTGACTCCTCCTTACCTGCAGCTGCTTCCAGCGCGTGTTGATCTGCTCCAGGGTACGGGAGTTCTCCATGGACAGGTGGACATCTGAGATGGCAAGCTGGTGCGCGAGATCATTGACCACTTTCACTCCATCCTTCACGGGGGAGAGCTCCTCTTTGAACAGCTGGAGCCCCATGCCCAGGGGAACAGGCACAGGGCAAAGGAAGAAGGAAAAGAAGCAGGCGAGCGGTCAGGGCTTGGATCTGATCCCTCTGCTACAAGCTAGAGAGGGCTAGTGGCTGGCAAGATGCTGCTGACTAACCCTCCCACAGGGTACCTTAGCAGGGGAAAAAAAAAAAACCACAAGCCAAACCAGCCAGGCCGGACATTACTCAAATCTCCTGAGAAATGGAACAGGGACAATGGCTCATCTATGCTCAGCCACTGTACCTGTGTAAGGTCTGTGCCACGACAAGGTGCTCAGCACAGCCAATTGCTCAGGACACTGTGGGCCAAATCCACCTTCACAAAGCTAGGGGGCTGTTGGAGGGAGGACCTGGCCCCTGACACCCCAAGTAACAAGACTGCATTGGACTGAGCAGTCAGGAGGAGCAACACTGCCCTCCTGGGAAGCAGCATGTCATCACCTCTGGGGCCAAGGCTGGAGCCTTCTGAGAGCCAGAAGTACCTTGATTGACTGGATGTGCTCTGGTAAGGAGTCAATGAAGAGGTCTCCAATGGGTTCCCAGGTTTCGCGCACACTTTCAGCCTGGTCCAGTGTCGTGCTGAGCTCCTCCATGGCCCCTTTAATCTCTAGCAGATGCTCGAGTGTCCGTTCAATGTGACGGTGCTGGTCCACACACCGGGCCGTGAGCTTCTCCCACAGCTCACTGGCCACATTCGCCTGCTTCCAGACAAAGCGGCTGATGTTTTGGATCCGATGCCGGGGAGAGACATCTGTGAAGGCAAAGCAGAAAGGGAAAAGAGTAAAAATGAGAGCCCAGCCCAGAGGAGAGTGTGCAAGAGATGGAGAGAGGGCAGGGAAAATGGAGATAAAAAAATCTAGGGAAAACTGGAAAGAGGGAGGGAAACCAAGTGATAATAGTATCCAACTCTGCACCAGCTCCTCTAGGTATCCAGCCTGTCCACAGACCTTTGTCTGTCCTCACAGGCAGAAGTCCTGCTGCCATTTAAAAACCTACCCCAGAGCACATCTGATACTGTCTCATGGGATGCACCCCATCATGGGCTGCACCAGCAGCCTCTGCCTTCACCTGGGACAGAAGCATGGGTCTGTGCCAGTCTGACCTTTGGCCAAAGGATTGGAAAGAGCCTGGTGCCTGATGGTGCGGTGCTGAGCACTGACGTGCCGCTTTGTGCCAGACCAACCACCTCCGCTCCATCCTCTCCAGTTCAGCCCAGGAGGAGCTGTGCTGTGCTATGGGAGAACAAGGAAGGGGGAGCTCCACAGACCTTTGCTTTCTGAAGTTGGTTCTTCTAATTCCTCAAATGGATGCTGGGAAAGGAAAGCCTGTGCTGACTCCAGGACAGAGTAAATGTATGGTCCCCGAGACTTCACTTCTTCCATGAAAGCCTGGAGAGCAGAGCACAGAGATGAACCAGCTGGCTGAGCTGGAGAATCGTGCCCCTGCTGCCCCCTTGCCAAGGGCTGCAGTAATTTATTCACTCCAGGGCCAAAACCTCACTAGAGACACAGAGAGTTTAACAGAGAAATATTTTTGCAGTTTGGGGAAGGAATGACCATCTGCAAGAAGATGGCTCCTGCAGAAGTCTGGACTGCAGCTTTGCTGGAGGGGAAGGGCAGAACAGTGAGCCCAGAAGGGTGTACTGAGCCAGGGCTGAGCAAGAGGAACTGCTTGGAGACGCTCCTCACTCATGCAGAGAGAGTGTGGCCATGCAAACAACCCTTCCAGCAGCTCTTCAGCAACAGGTCCAGCTGCTGGAGGAGCAAGGAGGGGAACAGCAGGATGCTCCAAAGCAGCACATCCACCAGGGCAGACTTTGGAGGCAGGCTGGTTTAGGATGTCGTCTCCTCCCCTCCAACTGCAGTCCCCCGCTGGTGCTTTCTGCTGGGTCAGCTATTTGTGTGCCAGGGAAGTGGCTAGCGCCATGGTTGAGGGATAGCAATGGCAAGCAACAGTGCAGTTTTGCTTTCAAGGTAAAAACAACTAAAGCCCAACAGCCACTGGGAGTGAGAAGGTAATGCTCTGATCAGGGAAGCGGGAAACACTGATCTGTCTGGGTTTACCCCAGTTTCAGATATGATGATAATGTGCTACTGCAGGTATCACTCATGTCCCGACCATTGGGTTACCTTTAGATCAACCGACCTCCTCAGGCCTCAGGATCCCAAAAGCAGAGGCCAGTGAGAGGCAATTCCCTCTGTTGCAGAGGTAGGACATAAGGAGAAAACTAGGAGAGAAGTGATGGGGCCCACTACCAGCTGCAGCACCTGGTTGAGGCTATAATGCAGATTTATTGTCTAAAGCCAGATGGGCTCTGCCTGTTGCATGCCATGGGTATTTGCTATGGGATTGAGGCTCTGCCTTTCCACAGGAAGCAGAGATGGAGACAGGCAAGGACTGGTGCACTCACAGGCTGTGGGCATGGGCAGTGATGTGAGGCAGGGGTCCCAGGCAGGGCTGCCCACCTGCAGCAGTGGCCACCTGGCCACCTGCACCTGCCCACCTTAGCAGTGAATGGGAGGCATGAAGGAACATACTGTGTGCGTCTCCTTTTCCTGCTGCACCAGGAGGACATCACCCCGCAGGGGCAGCTGTGCCGAGAGCTCCTCATCCTTCTGCCCAAGCCAGTCTATGATCTCCTGGAGAGGCACCTGCAGCTTCCCACTGTGGTCAGAAAAGGCTTCCAGACGAGCCCTGGCAGGAGAGTGAGGACATCAGGATGATAGTCAGATGGACAGGAGAGGAGCAGGTTCCCCAGGGAGGAGAGGCACAGCACCGTGGCTGGGGTGGTGACCCCCAGGCATCCCCAGGACCCCACCAGTGACTGGCAGCTCTCCTCAGCATAGGCTGTGCATGAACATCAGCCAGCACAGATGCTACACTGCCAGGTGGGGTGAAGCACAGAGATTCTGGGAGACAAAACTGAGGCTGTTCATCACTCTGGAACCCAGAGCAGAGGACAGAGCTGCTCTGCATTTGCTGTGCTCTGGCTAGCAAGGGGGGCTTGGCCATGGCAAGGCCATGGGGCAAACAGAGACAAGCTGCAGAGACAGTCGTGCCAGAGGATGGAGAAAGCAGCAGAAAGCAAGCAGGAGTGAATGAGGGGAAGGAGAGCAGGACAGGATGGGTAGAAATGGAGGGTATGCTTTTCAGCATAGACTCAGAGGTCTATGGACAAGAGGGGGAACTGAGCCAAGGTCACCATGAATTCATGTGGCTCATCAGGTGAACAAGTCCAAAAACCTCCTAACAAGCACATATAGCAGGCAGGACTCAAAGGTCAGGCCAGCCTCGGTGCTTGCTCCAGGCAGGGACTCTTACCGAAGGCTGTGGGATTTCTTTTTGATCTCGTTCCAGCAAAGATTCATCTCTAGATGGGTCTGGGGTCCGGCAGCACCGCTTGGAGGCTGGGGGGTTACACATAAAGGTCCTGCACCATCCTGCGAGGCTTCAACCTGGGCAGAAACAGAACTGCACTGCATCCAGAGATCACTGCCCAGTGCTTGCAGCACTCACCTGAGGACACCTACCCACCTCTGTCCTAACCCTGCCTGGCTTTTCAACTCACAAGGGGGCTGCCCTTCTCCTGGAGGGAGTTAGCAGCTCCAGGGAAGCTTGTGGCCATGCCTGGAGGAAGGATGCAGTGCCAGCTTGAGCAGCACCAAGAACAAAGGTTGAAGGAAGGGCTTACTGCACATCTCCTGTTCTGCAGGATCTCTGTGCTCTTCAATTATCCAGCAATGAACTTATCTCACTGCTAAGTATTAAATCAGAACTGGCCCTTGTGTGTCACAGTCCCTGCAGGGCTAACAGTGATACCTTTCCACACCATACAGCGCTGCTACGCTTCAAGAAGAGGCGAGCACTGTGAGTCCTGTTGTTCCTAGGGACCAAGGGGACCTGCCAACCTCCTTTACGCCATCCCCAGTACTAGGAGCTGCCACCTGCTCCTCTACAGAATCACAAGGATATTCTCTGCCTGCACAGCAAATCTGGGATGCTGCTGCTCCTCCACAGATGCTGCTTCTCCTCTGCACCTCTCCAGAACAAGCAGTGGTGGGAAGGATGCTCTGAGAGGCCGTGGAGCAAATGACAGCAAATCCTAACGCGGCCACACAAAGGAAGCACACTTTGCACTGTGCCACTCAGTCAGGGAAACTGGGTGCTGATCCCTGCACAACAAGTCCTTGGTGCATGGGGGAAGGAATCCTCTCCTAAGCTTTTAACACTGTATCATGCTCCTGCTTGTGATGGCAGCAAAGACGTCGTTGCACTTGCTGATGACAGCAACACACACCAGCAGGACTGGAAGCATCTCACATAGGACTCAGTGAGTGAGAGGGGATTTCCTCTCCAAAAAACATAGTTTTTTGTGCAAAACACATGGACACAGTGCATCTCCACAAGTGAGACATTGATGTGCTTTGTTGGGGAAATGGCAGCATTTCAATCTAATGCTACTTCGATATTAGAGCTCATTTATGATAATTATCCCCAGGTGATTAATTAACCATAATTAACTGCATTATTACTTTCCAAACAGCACATACAACAGGTACCTCTTTGCTAGGGAAGGGCAGCTGCCTCTGGGGAATAGCAGCAGCTCTGCCAAGGGGAATGTGCAGATATGTGTTACTTGTCCCATCCAAGGGCACCCAGAGGTGTCCAGGGGACAGATCCAGCCAAGCCAGGGAGAACAGGCAGGATGAAACCAACAGACAAGGAATTTGGCTGCACAGCTAAAACAATATCCCCTCCATGACAGTTCTCAGAGAGAAAGCAAATGATCGCTGAGACTGGTGCTAAGTTTGCTTCATCTAAAAACATCTACCACCAGGCTGTTCTCTGCCTCCCCACCCTGCCACTCCAGGAGCATCAAGAAAATCATCACGCACAGAGTTCACAGGAATCTTGGGGTCATGAATAATAAACCACTCAAGCTAAAACTGCTGCTTGCACATAGAAAAATCAAGACTCTACATGTGCATATCCTCATCATGCTGAAGTAGGTTAGCCCCACAGCATTGCCAGGGAACGCTCCCAGCCCTCCCCTCTATCCCAGGGTGTACCAAAGGAGGGGGATCAGCTCTACCTGGGTGCAAGTGCAACTGCAGGACAGCTCAGCAGACAACACAGTCCTCCCAGCCCTGTTTAAGAAGTTAAAAGCCCACCAAGCCTGCGACTCACAGACCATGCCCAGTAGATGAGCCAGTGACAGTGGCCAAGCAGGGGCCAGGCCATCTGCTCCCTTAGGACAAAACCCTTGCAAGCAAGCAGAGGGAAAATGCAGTGCTTTCCTTCTGAGCATCCCCTAAGCATCCCTTCCTCAGAGCCCCAGCAGCAGCAGCCTGAATCTGCATTCCCCCTCCACCCTTGAACAGCTTTATTTTCCATTGCAGAACACTCACGCGGGCTCTGGCGAGTGCATCTACCTGTGCTTAGCCACAGATCCACCGCAGGGCCGTTCAGCTTTGCTGGAGCAGTGGGCATCACCTCCTACCCTTCCGGGTGCTGCCAGGCAGCACCCGGCAGGGAAGCAGGCAAGCGCCGTGTGCTCAGCAGAGCGGGGCACCCTGAGCACTGACCCCCCAGGAATCTGGAGGGAGGCGGCAGTGCCTCGCAGCCAGCCTCAATCCCAGCTTTGTCCGGTGGCATTCCAGCAGCCTCCAACCTGCCTTAACCCTGCTGGTGCCACCGTGGCTGCCTGCAAGGCACAAAGGGGGCAGAGATCTGCTCACTGCAGGGCACCCCGTCATGGGAAAGCCCCTTGTGGGAAGTTGTCTGTGCACAGATGGATTGTTCTGGGCACTGGGGAAGATCCATCTCTGCAAGGGCATGGAAAAGGTGATGGTGGGCTGGGGTGACCAGCGGAGACCTTGCCCTCAGATGCTAGAGCACATGCAGGTCAGACAGATGTGTTTGCCCGGGAAGAGATTTACCCAGGGAATGTGTCCAGCAAGCTTTGACTGCCCAGAAGGTAAATAGTCAGGTCCTTGAGACCTAACACCCAAGAAGCCAAAGATGCCCTCCTTGCCCTCCATGTGCTCCAGCCCAGCACTGGGTGCCAGCAAAGATGTTCCTGCCTGCCTGGACTGGGTGAAAATAGTTTGTTTTTGCCAGAATTCTCTGGGCTGGCTCCTTGTGGCCCCCACAGTCCTGCCACCCAGCATTGTTTCCATGCTATCCTCCACCTACAGTGAGGGAATGAAAAGCTCCCTGG